ACACGCTTTTTTAGCGCTTTTTGTCCTGAAACCGAGGAAAAAAATAAATTGGCGAAAAACAAAATTCGCTTTGACTTGTAGCTTCCAAAAGGCGATTAGAACGCTCGCATTTAGTGGCCGTGAAAAAATCGGCACTTCAGTTTATTTCAAAATTTTTAGTACGGTTTGATAGCCAGCTCTATAAGCTTTAATTTGATATAGGGGTTTAGGTATCTACAGCTTAAACCGGACGCGCTACATCGCTTGGACATGAGACACCCCTGAAGGTATACGGTAACCTTAAGACAAGCAAAGATACTTATAGTTTTGTTTAACTTTTAATAAATGCAACGTAGCCCATCTATACACGATTCAAATGCATTATCTTTTTTCTTTAGGGTGTTAATGTTGAATTAATGAGTAGAATACAAATGCTAAACGGATAGCTATCGCGGGGTGTTGTTCAAATTATATATATATCTATATACAATATGTTTTGAACCGTGCAAAAGGGGAAACCGGCGTAAGGGTTATTTCTTAGTTGAGAAGCAGGCTTCTTTATAAGGCCCAGAGTCTTGTTAGCTAAGAAATCTTATAGCCGGAAAAATATTTTTGCTTGCCTCTGTTTTGTTTTGTACGTTCGGGGAATAAGCTTTGAATGAAGGGATCACTTATCACATGTCGACTGCGAGCAGTCCCGATCTCCCTTTTGCCAGAGAACGCAAAGAAGAACTCAACAAAAGTGAGTGGTCGTGAACGTGCGAGCGTGAAATGCGAAGCCGCAAGTACGCGCCCTCGGATTCCCGAGTAAAAGAGAGACTGTTCGCAGTCTATCGCGCCGTGATCGAGACGAAACACTGGAATATGTTGAATGTAATTAGGGCGAGATCCTATTGCTCTGCGCTGTACAAGCAAGCAAATTCGAATCGTCGTGTAAGAGCTGCCAGGCTGTGTTAGGTGATCATTACGATAATCATGGTTTTCTTGGCAGTTCTTCAGAGCAAGCTTGGTAATCCGTAACGATCGTGTCCCCGAAAGCAGTGCCCAGAATTCTCTAAAGAAAAGTGTTCTCGGAGCAGCCTGTGCCTTCTGACCTCGATTCTTGAACCGCATAGTAATCCTTAGATTCATCCAATTTGGAAAAATCAAAGTAATTCACTTCCTGAAGGATTACGTTTTCCATTGTGTCAAGAAGTTGTTGAAAACTCGGCCTCTCATCCGGGTCTTGTTTCCAACAATCGTTCATCACAGAGTAACTGAAAGGAGAGAAGAGAGAAGTTTTAAAAGTGATGAGCCTGTTTAATTTTTTTTAAAATTTATTTTTATTTGTTTATTTTTTAAGTTCACATCACCGCATCACAACTCCAAGGGGCCTCTCCCGGCGCTGCGCCTGTTTAATGGATTAAAAGAACGACGCAAAGATGTAAGGCTATCCGTAGCGCTCATATACTAAGTTTTATGGCAAACGAATTTGTACATGGAGTGTCGAGATCTGCATTCAGACGTTTCAGGTCTGGAACCCTCACTGATGCGTTTTAAGTGTTTCCAGAAACACTTTATACACACAGATGAAGTCCTAATACTATTATTATTATTTTTTTGGGGGGGGGGGGGGGGGGAAGGGGGGTGGGGGTGAGGGAAAAACAAAAAAAAAATCATGCAAGGGAAAATGCCAACAAAAAAAATTCGTGCAAGGAAGAAGGTAAAGAAAAAAAATTCATGTAGAAGGAAGGTCTAATTGTGACTTTTATTTAATATATAAAATTTGCCAGTGTCTATTAAAAATAATTCTTATTCAAAATATTATTATTAATAAATAAAGACGTCTAACAGTGTACTGAAGCGTTTTCCTCACACTGGATGAAATGACAAACATAAGGTGACATAAATTAATTCATACTACAATAGCCAGAAATGTCCTTCAGAAATCAACAATATTACCAGGCACAATATGAATAAACGAAAATCACTTTCTTCTTATTGAAAGGAGACAATTAGAATCTTGTTTTTGTTTTAAATTGCAGCTAGTGTACCTACAACATACACTGATTGTGAGCGGTAAACGGAATGGTACTCGACCAAAACACTTCAAAATCGGTAAAACTGTAAACTCTAAACGGCACAAATCTCTCTAAGGCATAACAACTGTTCACTGGAAACTGTCCAAATCTCTGCTGATAAACGTCCACGAAACTTAAATTTGTACGCGTAATAAACGTACGNCTGAAATCACATGAGAGCATGGTGGAAAATCACTGGGAGCTTTGTCGTATGATTTCCCATATGGTAAAACTATTGGGTTGCATTGGACATTGACCTAATGTTATTGCACAATGGCTAATAGGGGGAAGATAACAGAACTGGTGACGACCTTAGATGACAGCTATGATGTAGACTACAAAGCTCATTAACCACAGTTTAAATGCTTAAACTTCTAAATGTTTATCATGTGTTACGGTTGTAAGTCTTGTATCTGCTGTGTTCATAATTCAGGCAGAAAGTAAGACATAATTACAAGTGTAACTCTCGCTCTCTTGAGTATAATTATGAGAATGGATTTACGATTCCCCAAGATCTGAAAGAAATTCTGTTCAAATAATAATAATAATAATGATGATGAAGATGATGAAGATAATGATGATAATAATAATAATAATCGAATATTTATCAAGAATAACCCTTCAGTACAAAGTACTGTTATCAAAGGGATCCTGCTGACTAAGAATGAAAAACTAATAGATAAGAATTATTAAGAAATATAAAATAAGATACATATTAAGGCAAAAATACACTAATTAAGTTAAAAACTGCTAAAATAGAATAGAAATTACAAGTAATAATCGCCTAAGGCTTTCCTAATTAAAACTCTAGAATTAATGTTTCTTAAACTTAAAGCCAATAAATTAAAAATTGAGGCACCTAAAAAATAAAAGCTACGGTGCCCAAAATCCATTGGTAGAACATGAAAATGATTTTACACTTACCAAGAGTTGCAATTTCCCACATGACTACTCCAAAGGACCACCTGAGAAAACAAAAATACAGCAACAGCAGTTCGGGCGGAATAAAGTTAAAATACTTGTTAAACCTATTCTGACTAGGCGACCAGTATGAGTTTGTTTTCTTTCAATAATGGCTTAAAACCACATCTACGTTTACAATAATAGAAAACAACAACAACAACAACAACTTGTATTGACAGTATCATATCACTTCATTCTAAAACCCACTCTACTTACGTAGCCGTTGTTTAAATTAGGTCGTCACGCGACGCTCCTTACCCTCCTAGCAGAGCCGCTTCGATCTTTCCTAGATAAGTCAGGAAAGAAGAAGAAGAAGCTCTGCCAGCAGGGTAGACGCTCCTCTCCCAGTAACGTTGATAGGGGGAGGAGGGTTACGTGACAAACCAGATAACGGCTGCGTTCGTAGGAGCCTATCTAAAACCCTATACTGATCCTCTTTTTACATTCGCTGCATCTACTTACACATCACTTTTAGAAGTGAAGATCTCTTCATAAATCGACTCTGGCGCCATCCATTTAAGAGGCAGTCTCCTTTGAGTTTTGACTTCATACACCTCATGATATGCTTGTCTCATCAACCCGAAGTCTGCTATCTTGAGCAGTTTACCGTGTCCGACGAGAACGTTACGCGCTGCCAGGTCTCTGTGGACAAGACCTTTTTCAGCCAGGTAATTCTGTGGATAAAACAGTTCTTTGTGATAAGTTGAATTGAGAGGCTGAAAAACATGGGCTTGAAGAAAGAAGTTTTGACGCAAGCTACTGAACATTTAGTCTCAGTCAAACCCATTACTCCATTAGTAAGCTGTCAAGCAATAATACTAATAACAATAACGATAAAGATAAAGATAACGATAACGATAACGATGACGGTAACGATACCGATAAGGATGACGATGACGATAGCGATAGCGAGAACGATAGCGGTAGCGATAACGATAACGATAACGGTAACGGTAACGATAGCGATGGCGATGGCGATAACGATAACGATAACGGTATCGGTAACTACAACGATAACGGTAAACGGTAACGGTAACGACAACGGTAACGATAACGGTAACTACAACGATAACGGTAACGGTAACGAAAACGGTTACGGTAACGATAACGATAACGATAACGATAACGATAACGATAACGATAATGATAATGATAATGATTAGTAATGATAATAGGACTGAGTGCAGTCCAATTCGGTCTGTTATCATAAGAGTGATAACAAAATCGGACGACCGCGCAGCAGGAGTCCGATTTGTTTATCACGAGTATGATTACAGACCGAATTGGACGACACGAAGTCTTCTTACCAATTAATCATAAAAATTACAATTACCGAGAAGAGAAGAATAGCCAAGTTATGAAAGAAAGGGAAAATTTGCATTAAAATAACTACAAAGGAGATGTAAATATTCTAAGGCCACCGCGCCAAACACGCAAAAGCAAGCGCGCGCACGCACGCACGTAACTACAACTTTGAATGTGATTGGTTGACTTAAACTACAACTTTGAATGTGATTGGCTCATTGAACTGTCCGATAACAAACTGTCCAATAACAAACTACAGTCTTCCGCAAGAAATTGTTTGCTTATTTTTGCGATAAGTTCAGTGCTAATTTTTTATCGTGATTATCTTATTTTTTAATATGAGTTTAGAATAATTTTTAACTAGGTATACAATCATACAATGATACACTAAGGCGGCTTATATTAAGGAATCTTGTATTCTGTTTTAAGTTCTCCTCAAATTCATTGGATGGACTTGTCCAATGTAATGTAATTTGGAATTTGTATTAAAGATTAAAGATTAAACTGTCCGATAACAACTTGGCAAGTGAATTAGTGGAGAATAGGAGTTTTTTAAGCCGATCACAATCGAGGAAATTGTAATTTTTATGATTAGGATAATGATAATAAAATATCTTTAGCTAGGAGGCAACCTCACCCACGGTGGTTTTCAGGCTGGTCCTGAGTAAAAATCGTAGATATACAAATTGTCAAGTTGAAAGTTTAAAAAGTATACAAACGTACACAATAAAGTCCCAAGGTAGAGTCAATAAAATAATAAAATTTGATAAAATGTGTACCCAAGCTTCTGAAAAAAACTCTAGGCTATTTACATCTCTTGTAGTCTCTGGGATAGTGTTCCACTCGTGTATCGCTCGATAAGTCAGTCTTTGGCCCCACTGGCACCGAGATTTGCCGGGCATTTTAATGTTGTCTTTGTGTCTGGTGTAAAAGAGTGGATTTCTCCCAGTGTGTAAAATTAAATTTCCGGTCAATCAGCCCATACATGCATTTAAATACAAAAGAAAAGCGATGTTGCGATCGCCTATCCGACAAAACTAGCCAATTAGGATTGAAGATGACGCCTTTGTTTCTGAGATTTCTCCTTGGCTTTAAAATCTACTCGGTTGTGAAAAACATATGTCATGAAATAAATAAAAAAACGTAAAGAGTGTTTCGTGAAAATTTCGAAGCAACTCAAAGTTAGTCAGTGATACTCTACCTCACTTTAATCTTTAATCTTTAATACAAATTCCAAATTACATAACATTGAACAAGTCAATCCAATGAATTTGGGGACAGCTTAAAACAAAACTTCGCATTTTCAGCCATCGCTACAGTTGAAGACATAAGAGCTGGCCAGTTTTAATGCATACCCGCGAAAATTGTTTGTAAACCGCTGATTCTCAAGCCTCCTTTTTGGGCTCATATGCTGCTGATTATATACAATAATGATACATACACGGATGCAGTTTCTTGCAGTAGAGAAACCGCTGAACAGGGATATTGTAGTAGTTAGTAATCAGTGGTAAGGAAAACTGACTTGAAAAAACGGTCGATAAAACCGTGACCATCTCTCGCGGAATATTGGAGCAAAGACGGATGAAATATTGCGGTCTAAAGACAGCCGAGTTTTTCATTTTGGTATGGGCTGCTGCCCTGTATTTGCTGGATACTTTTTCATTGGTTTTAAATGCAACAACCAGGTATCAAAATGATGATAGAGCTGCAAAACATGAGGTGAGTCTGTTACATAAGCTTATAGTTTTTACCTGTTTTTTTACCTACACATTTTTACCTTTGCTAATTTTTCATAAAATATTTTATTAAATATTTCAATCACAATGCATTTACGTTCGCCTCCATGTTCGAACAGCCGTAGGGTGATATAATTGCGGGCTTAAATGTTCAAAAAGCTATTCAAATGGCCATTAGAAATAGTGAAATCCGTTCTTCTGTTTTGATTAGATGAGAATTTGCCGGCTGTGAGTGATTTTGTGTGTATTTACCCAGGGAATAACCAGTCACATAGATATTCCATTTTCAAAAATGAATATTTATAAGTGTG